CCTATTATATATCAAGAAATGTAATTAAATCACAAACTATAGAGTGAAATCAGCTAGGTTTTGCTGCTACCTGTAATAATTATGCCATGGTATTGATATAATAAGATCTAGAATAATTATATTTTTAAATGAGTAGTAGTAGTGGATTTTTTCCACCAACTGATGAAATATTTTCTGTAGCTGGTATTTCAATGCCTACTAATTTTCCACCATGGTACGGATCATGGAGAGTACGCGATCCCTACGTATTAGAGAGGTCGCCCTGACGGTCGGTTGGGTAGGAAAGAGTGGAGTTGGGATTGTTCGGATAAAAAAAAACGCTCTCCGCTTACCGAGGTTCCAGACAGAAACCAAAGTAATAGAAAATAAATAATGAATCTAAGGTTTGGGTAAATAATGAATGAATGAATGAAGGAACAGAATATGGACATAGGGAAAACGCGAAGATCCAATGGGGGAACTAAATGAAGATAAGACAAATGATGTAATGTCATAAAGTAAGCTGAAATTAGTAAAGAAAAGAGTATAATCACGGTACAGTTCACCGACGTAGTCAATGGTTCGCCCCGGAAAAGTTCTTGGGGAGAGTTTCACTACCAGTTCTATGACACGTCGGGAAAACAGATCTCAACAATATATGGGGGCTCGATAAAAAATACTAAATTCCTAATGTGAGGCTTGTCCCTCTCTTCTATCTAACCATTTTTATAAGGAATAGTAGAATTTTTTGGCACCTACCCAATATTTATTGCTCTACTCCAGTACCATCTGTAATTTACCTTGTCAAATTTCACTGAATAGAAAACAAGTTCCCATCTCGGATTTCTGTGTACACAATGGATCATGATAAAACTAAGAAGGAAAAGTAATTTCAAATAAGCATTCTTATCTTTGCATTTTCTGTAATTTACCTTGTCAAATTTCACTGCATAGAAAGCAGGTTCCCATCTCTGATAAACTAAGTCAACTTAAAACTCCTTTGTTCCTCTACGAAGAAGCCAGCCGATGACTCAAGCGAGTCGGAAACCCCTTTTATGTACTCTCACCTTTAGGTTGTCTAAGTTCAGATTCGGCCCGTAATTTATGTTTTACCCTATGCTCCTTTGTTATTTTACAAAGAAGCCAGCCGTTGACTTAAGCCAGTCAAAAAAGCGTTTTATGTATTTTCACCTTGAGAGTTATAACAAATAGCATGTTAAAAAGCCATAGGTGTTTTTCAAATCACTAATAAAAACGGCTGATAGCCAAAACAGCATTGCCAGTAACAAATCTTAATTCTTAAATGCAACTCTGCCTCAACATCTCGAAGTAAAATACAACTATGCTTAAAACTGTTTAAGTGTAAACAACAGCTGGCATACCTTACAGCTGTTTCTCTTCTATTGTTTTCAATTGTATGTTTTGTCACTTTAACTTATTATTCGAAATTTTGGTCTTACTTGAAACCCATTAGGATTAAGTAGTCATTTGTCGACTTCTGGTTTGTATTTAGCTTCATAATCGTATTTGGTTTTAAAAACAAGGCGTAGATGTTTATTAAACTTCCCAAACCAAGTCAAAATTGAGCAAACTATTGAATTTATTCCTACCAAGTTTTAAGACCATACGCCGTTACAAAGTGAGAGAAAAAACTGCAACAAAGTCAAACGCCATAATTTTTACATTTTTTTAATTTTAATAAATGAAAGCAAAAAATGTCGGAAATTGCATCAAATTGTAGAATAAGTTTGAATTTGTTCGATTTGGTCACCTTTGGCACGAATTATGGCCTTCAAACGGCCAATGAAACCGCCACACGTGGCCCGAATGTTGCTCAGTGGTATTTTAGCCCATCCCCGGTTGATGCGCATGCTTAAGGTGATTGACACTTTGGTATTTTTTAGTGCCAACCTTACATTCCAAAATACTCCAGAAACAGTAGTCCAACAGATTGGTATCCGGAGATTTTGGTGGCAATTGTGCGCTGGAAATGAAGCGAGGAACCTCATTTTGTAACCATTCTTGGGAGACGCGTGCTGAGTCCTCTTGGAATGTCCAAGGTCTGCGGCCAAAATGTTTGCGTACCCAAGGCTTTAATACACTCCCCAGAATATTTTCGCGATAATATTCGGCATTTATTTTGATGCCACGGTCGATTAATACGAGCGGAGAGCGACCATCGGCTGTTATGGCGGCCCACACCATCACCATGGCCGGAGCTTGAGTTCTGGTGGCCAACCGAAGGTGCACATATTCAGCTGACCTCTTTGGCAAGTAAACACAATCATTTTTTTTGCAAACTGCTGGACAACAAATGTTTTCTCATCGGAAAAAAGCAAATTCGGCAGTTCACCACTTTCGGCCAAGCGAAGCAAATCTTTGAGTCTATTTTCTTTCTGTTGCGGTGTAAGTTATTGCACTTTTTTGGAATTTAAATGGATTCACCCCGAGCTCATTTTTCAATATTTGCTGAATGGAATATTGCGATATGTTCAGCTCACGAGCCATTTTTCGGCCTCTGCGACACGGGTTTAGATCAAGTCGCTTCTTTACTTTTCGAACCATTTCTGCTGATGTTGCTGTTTTCTTCCGTCCACCTCCTTAACGTCGGGCTACGCTACCAATATCACGGTAACGTGCGATGGTACGAGACTCAAACGATTTATTCACATCTATTTTCTGGAGTGCTCCAGCCTCTTGTGGTTTTCCAGCCAAATATAAAGTAATCACACTATCACGCTTGAATTCCAACACGAATAACTTTTTTCTGGAAAATTCTCAACAAAATGCTTTTGTACGCTTGTAAACAATATAATGAGCTGTCACTGGAATAATTCTAACAGCTGTCGGACGAGTGGCTTAGAAATGACAGCAGTCTGAAGTTGATTGCAGTTTTTTCATCTCACCCTGTATATAAAGGATTAAAAAGGTGCGGGGTCTCTTCATCCTCTCCTAAGAAAGTTTCACAGTATCACATACAAATTCTTGGATCGATACGTTCACTAGTTTGAATGATAAGACGTTTTTATAGAATTGGAGCAGAAGGTACTGACTAAACTTTTTGCAATTGCCCATTTGATTGATTGAGTGAGCAAGTGAGAATTATTTCATTCGTAACTCATAATTCGAAAAATATTTTTGCAGAAATTAGATCTCTCCACACATTGCATATCGTAAAAAATATGCCAGATTCAAAAGTTCCATATGACAGATCCTTCAAAAAAATGTACAATTTTGAATAAAAAATAATAGTCCCCGATTTTTAAGTATAAAATTTTTTAAGATGTTGAAGAATCTTGAATCCCATGTAAGTCTTAGGGACTATACTTGTAGATTCCTTATATTCGAGGTATTTTTAATTGACAATATAGGTCCATTTCTTTTTGCCACCTTCTTAACTCTTTTTCCGATATCATATGAATATGGTCTATAAAGTCCCCAATTTGCTCTAACTTTTACTCACAGATGGATTTTTAAAATTATATTTTAGAGCACGTTAGGTGCATTTTAACAAGTAAAAATGTTGAGATTCATGAAGCAGCAACAAGCAACAAGTAGGATACACGGGATGTAAGAAATACTCACTTGTGCTGACAAACACCATAAATAAGTTTCCCCATATAAACGTAAACCTTCAAAACATATATCCAAAAGAAATAGGAAAATATGCTAATCGATTGTTTACAGGAGTTTTTTTTCCTATATCAGTAGGAGGTTTGAGATTCATGTTGAGATTCATGAAGCAGCAACAAGTAGGATACACGGGATGTAAGAAATACTCACTTGTGCTGACAAACACCATAAATAGGTTTCCCCATATAAACGTAAACCTTCAAAACATATATCCAAAAGAAATAGGAAAATGTGCTAATCGATTGTTTACAGGAGTTTTTTTTTCCTATATCAGTAGGAGGTTTGGAAATATATCCATGATCGTGAACTGTGCTAGGTATAAATTATTCATTCTTTTCATAAAATGTGCTTACTTGATTAAATAACTAACTAAATAAATATTTATTTTTATATTTACAGGATAAATATGCCGCAGAAAGCCCGAATATTTTGGATTTAAACGATGATTGTTTACTGGAAATTTTTAAATACTTAACTATTCAAGAAACATTTGGAATCCTACACAATCTGGGAAAACGTATTGATAACATAGCATATAAACGCATCGCCCAACTAAAATCTCTCAACTTTAGCCTCCGAGATCCGCCAGAATTCTCACCGTACCAACTCACAGTAATTGGTAAAACCTTGAAGACACTTAGAATTTCCGTGGGCTACTCATTAAACACAGAGCAATTTATTACCCGATATCTTAAGCCATTATGCTACCATGGATCTATTCAGGATTTAACACTGAACTATATACAATTCAATGATGCTTATAAACAGTGTGTTTTGAAATTAGCGCCTAATTTACGATTTTTGGATTTAAATTTTTGCCAGTTGACCGATGGATTATTACAGCCCATAGTAGAAAGCTGCATCCGATTGGAAACGCTTTCGATTATTGGCAACTACGAGTGGAGAGGCAAATCCTTGCATCACATCAAATCGTCGTATATCAAATCTATAACTCTTGAATTGAACGATCTATGCAATAACGAAGTGGAGGCGTTCAAAGCAAAGAGGGGACAGGTGTGTCTGAAAGTATTTGACAAAGGTAGAAACACATTTCGTACTGTAAACAAGGGTTTTGAAACAAATACTCTTATATTTTCCCTATAAAATTGATATCGTAATACCGTACTAACCTAGCAATTCGACGAAATGCGATTATAAGCACAAGAAGAAATGTACAATAAGGACAAGAAGAGTGATGAAAATTTTACATTTTTAAATTAGATTTGTAGAATCTGCTCTTAGAAAATCATGTTTTCACAATTTCCATAATAGGAGCATTCATGTTTAGGATATAACAAATCGATTAAACCCAGTGAACATTTCTTCATAGTACAATAAAAAAAAAACAAAAAGCAACCAAAACATATTTTTATTAAAAAACGCATACATTTTGTTATGTGTAAACCCTTTATTTATTTATAAAATGAATATGAAACATATTTTCTGATGTAAAAATGTATTTTTCTTACACGACCTTTTTCGATAGGGTTTCGTTTCCACTGAAGTGTCAGTAACTAAAAGTGTTACAGATTGTAAGGTTCATTTTATCCAACTGATAAAATAAATTCAATGATCTTAAAAAATGATCATGTCATGAGTATCAAGTTGGATAAAATGAACAAATGACATTTTTAACACCGACCAAATACGCTTCGGACATTTGTATTGAATAATAAAAGAAGTCATAGAGAAAAATATAAAAATTTCGGGACATGTGACATCATAAATATAAAATACGACAATAATTTTGCAAAACGATATGGATACATATGGTACATTCATATGTATGTTGTAAATTTATAACAAATTCCTTAAAGTAAAAAAAAAAAATTAACATAAAATTGATATAAAAATAAAAAGATATGTTCATGTGTTCTAAAAATGTAGATTTGATTTCCAAGGGACATAACTGCAACAAAATAGAAGTGTGAGGATTTACAATTTCTTCTTCAAGTAGAATTCACGAATTAGGGTTTTCAAGTATTTGGCTTCGCGTTTGCGCTCGGCCAGCTGACATTTAAGCTCTTCGTGGCGTTTTGTCAATTCCTGTTCCTCCGTGAGAATCTGTTCCATTTCCAATTTCTTCTTTTGACGATAACGAGTGGCTGCATTCTTGTTTTGTTCCTTCTTGCGAATTTTGCGATCTTCAACACCACGGCCATAGGGGCGGGTACGTTTTTTAGCCGGTGCTGGTGAAGATGCGCTACTTGATGTTTCACTGAAGCTTTCTACCGAATGTTGTAGCAATGGCGAACAACTGCCTGAAGATGGCAGCCATTCGTCGTCTATAAAATCTAAGTGGGATGGAGCCGAAATTGACGATTGAGTTTCGCTGTCCTCAAAATATTTATCAGCAGCTGATTTTAAAATGTCATCAATTAGTTGTGTATTGAATTCAATGTCATCCTCGGAGCTTGCATCGGTTGTTGTACTTTCCTGGTAATGGGGGGAACTATTGCTCCAGTTGGCAAAGGTAAATTGTTGTGTTTGCGGAACTGGTGAAGTTGGCTTTGAACCACTCAAATGATTTTGCTGTAAAACATCATTTATCTGGAATGAATGAGAATATTATTAATAGAGTTATTAATTATGTGTGGGCTTAAGCAGAAATTACGCCTATCAGTATTGGTTTGGCTGTCGCTGTCTCCACAATGGTTGGGGATGACGAAGTTTGTGGTATTGGTGACGAAGCAGCTGTCTGTGGTGGTGAACTTGGCGGCGTTAACTGCGTTAAAACCGAAGCATTTTGATTGGCGAAACTGAAATGATGGATTTCGGTCGGGGCTTGTACCTTGATAGCCTGAATGGGATTGGCGACCGGGCTCTCGATTGAACTATCCAATAAAGGAGCTGGCGAATAAAAGTTTTCTGTAAAAAAATGAAAAATTGCAAATTTAAATATTTTGCTTAAAAACAAGAAAACTGTTTTATTTAATATATATTTTTTTGTAGTATAAAAACAGAACTTTTAAATATTGTTTATCAAATTAGATTGTTATTAACATATGAGGAAAAAACGCAACAATGTGATATTTGTACAATACGATTTTAAAAATAAATTAAAAAGCGCCTAAATTCGGCCGGAACCTCCACCACTTAGAAGGAAATTGAAAATTTAGAAAAATCTCAAAAATTACGGTTTAAATGAAAACCGGTATATATATGGGCTATACGAAGTCGTGAACTTGCATAAATAATTTTCCGTCTTATGTTATAGTATCCATTACGAACTTCAAATATGAAATTTGAAACAAGTCCGGTTAATAATGTCGCAAAAATCACCAAAATGCCGAATATCAGAAAGGTTATATGGGGACTATAGAAAGACGTGTACCTACGCAATTTTTTGTCATTAGCTGTACTACTCATTATGAACTTTAAATACCAAATTTGAAACATTTTCGGTCTATAATGTCTCTAAAATCATAAGAAAGCCGAATATTGGGAGATGCCGTTATATAGGGGCTATACGAAGAAGTGGGCCAGCATAAGTAATTCCTGGTTGTAGTACCCATTAAGATCTGCAAACATCAGATCAATAGAATCATCAAAATACTGAATATTGAGAGGAACCGTTATATGGGGGCTATACGAAAACATGGACCGACATGGTCCATTTACGAACTTTACCTGCCTACTGGCAAAACAAACATGTGTTAAAATTTTAGAATTCCATCTCAATTCGTTCGAAAGATAGAGTTATTACGACAAACAGACAGACATTGCCAAATTGAATTAGAATTTTACGCTGATCAAGAATATATATACTTTGTTGGATCTGACATTAGTATTTCGGGCAGTTACAAATGGAATGACCATGTTAATATACCCTCCATACTATGTATGGCGGAGGGTATAAAAACAACCAGAGTTTATCTAAGTTTACTAATTATATTTGTATTTATATTATATATTTTTATTTTATATTTCTTAACGTCAAAGTGGATTTTAAAACGAACATAAGCATATGTTCTGGTGTAGTCACACTTTCAGATTTAACTTAATAAAATGCGCTTATGCAAAATTATTGTCTGGATATGCATAAAATAAATAACCAAATGCATAATGCATAAAATATAAACTCCAATATGTCCCATTATTAAAAATTCGCATTTATTTTTAACACGATTGGATCCGAATTTGGACACAAAATGTAATCAGTGGATGTTTACAAAATATATGAAAAATGTATGAATTTGTCTTATGCAAAAATAAAACTTACATATGCAAGTTAAAAACAATTTCAAAAATATTTATACGAAATCTGTGAAAAACTGTTGAATAAAATAAGGAAACAGATTGCGAACATAATCACCCTTATTCTGTTTGTCGACGTCGACACAAGTTCTTATTCTATTTGCGAATCGGTATTCTAAGTGTCAATATTACCATTTGTGAGTTTTTTGGTATTCTGTAACAAAATGTGTCGACGACGTAGACTGACGCTATTGTCGTTAGAGTTTTTGGAAAAATCACAAAAAAACAAATTCAAATCAATTGAATAAATTAGTTGAAAGAAAAAAAACAATAAATAAACAGTCGACGCTCTTACTGAACATTGTCGACGTCGGCAAAAAGTAATGCAATTCCAAAAGTGACGACGGTGTCAACGTCGACGAGTAGAATAAGGGTGAATAATGATAAATTGTAATCTACGCCTTTAACTGGTTCTGTCATGGCGAATGAAGTGTATTATTTGCTCTTTCAAAAGACAGTGGCAGAGTAAATGTTCGACCATGTTAGTTTACTCCTCATCCTGATCATCGACACCCCTACCCCACACTTAGTACTCATAGCCCTTATGCTAAATTGATCTGTGATAATATCCACCATCAATTTTGGGACAGGTTTCGCCATGGAGATGAACGACCTCAGTACTCCTACATGGAACAAATTTCTAAACAAAATAATAATAGTGGCTGAAATCTTTGCATTACATGCTCCGAAGGAAAGGTTTATATCTACCACATCGTGAACCAAGTATATCAAACTTTAGGAGTACTACAAATGTTTATTCGAAATTTCATTCATTTCTCGTAAAAAGTGTGATCTATCGACTTGTCACGAGCATATATTTATATCCTTTTTGGAATTCCGAATCAATATTTCAAGTTCTTGCAAACGGATTCATAAAGTTTATATGGACCCAATTTTATAATAAGTATTAATTAAGGCCAGAAGACATTTTAAAAGTTCTGAAAAGAATCTTTAAAACTAAAATTGTCACGATATCTTATTTTAGGCGGAGAAAAAGTTAATTACAGAACATACAAGTGTATGCAATCAAATTTTCCCGTTCCGAATATAGGTATGTGTATGACCAATAACACAGTTGCTTCATTTATCGCCCTTTTTTTCATTGCACAGATTTAATTAATACAAAAATTAAATCAATAATTAGTTAAGAAATATAAAACAAGATTTCCAAGACCGCAGTATCGGAATTTTGTTTTGTCTTGTCTTGATTTAATTTAAAAAAAATTCAGCACGCAACTCGTGATCAAGTTGTAAATAATCTTTGGATGAACAATACGGCAACCAACCGAATGCAATTATTTTTTCATACGAAAATTGGGTGGTTGGGGGCCAAAACTATAGCGACGTAAGAAGAGCTCGCAGCCAAGAAATCGAGATTAAAAGGTTATCGCAAATGCAATGGCCCCATTACAACAAACAAAATGCGTATTTGCATAACCCGCATTCACAAAAATAAAAACTAAACTAAGTAACTGCAACTATATGGAGGCTAGTTGACTAGCTGGCCACAACAAATTGAATGTTTTGTTGCAATCAAAATGAACAGAGTACAGTTTGTCGAAGGTCAGTTCGACAGCAATAATTCATTATTCTATGACGATAATTGAAATAATCTAATCACATTGCAGTCACCACTAAATTCATAATATCCTGAAAAAAAAGAAATGGTTTTTAAGGAATAATTGCAAAAAATAATATTTTGATGAGAATCCACTACATTAACAATTGCTACACAAATCAAATCAGAGTTATCAATAATTGAAAATGCCTACGTGAATATCTTCCGTTAAATTTATATTCAAGTCATCGGTGTTCTATTCTCTTATTTTTGTTCTTTAAAATAATAATATTTCTTGAATAAATAATTCAATTTTAAGAACAATACACACACACGCAAGAAATGATTTGATAACAATAATGAGGCCATATAAAGTGTCAACATTGAATTTGTTTTGAATTTATTTAAATGAGTCGTTCGGGAAAATGTCAAACAAAATCCACTCAAACGGGAAATCTAAAAATGCATCTCCTTAGCGTAGATTTCCCCCTAAAATGGGATTTGAAGAGGGAAAATAGAAGAAGCAGGGAAAATATGGAGTACTTTAAATGAACTAACCTCTGATACGGTGGGCCTTATCGCCGATTTGTTGAATTGAATACGTGAGGTTATGCTAATTGTGATCCCAACTTTTCAGATTACCTCAAATAAGTTTCGCTTAAGTTCTATTCGCATAACTTGCGATTAAGAGATTACACTGCTGAAGAGGGATTTCTATTGAGACAGTTGACATTTTTATATTTTATTCGATATCCCTACGTATAGATAGAAGACTCTTACAGCCAATTATATACGTCTTCGAAGGTAACATTCAAGTGAGCCAATGCTCATCAGAAAATCATTTCATAATTCAGCTAAATAAATAGGAAGTCGTGCATGTTGTGATGCATTTGGAATGGTGTTGTGAAAAAGCAGTCTCAACCATGGTACAATAGCAGGAGTTAGATTAATGCTGTCACTCTTAAATACATGCTTTGTACGCCCTAATTAAATTGGCCTTGATGTGCACACAATTTAAAAAAAAAAAACAATATTCTCTCCAAAATCCAAAGTCTTATCGCCCCATTTAAAATATGTTAATTGAAAATATGTTCACTACTACAAAATAGTTTTGAAAATATATTGCCTTTAACGAGCGGAAGATCAAAATGTTCTCCTTCTCCTCACATTCCTTTATTTTTAATAAAATTGTGTGGAAAGAAGTACTTGATAAGCTAGGGCGTCTGGAGAGTAGTTCTTACTTGGATCGCAGGCCATAAGGGTCATGTTGGTAACGAAGAAGTAGGCTAACTAGCTAGAGCGGGACCTAACGAACTTGAAAAGCTGCCAGTCGCAACACTAATGAGAGTAGCTAAAAGAGATATCTTTCAAAGCGGGATTAGATGAGAAACTTGTAAATTGATTGTTGGTAAATTCTTGCAAACTGTTTCAGATCTCATGCAGGTGGCTCTTGTGAAACTCTCTAGATGGGCACGATACAACGGACTCGGCGTGAACCCATCTAAAACTGAACTCGTACTTTTCACAAGGAGGCGGAAAATCCCAGTTTTTTCAATACCTATGCTGGTTGGAGTTAGGTACTGTTCTTGACCAAAAATTAAATTGGAAAAGGAATAACGAGGAGCGAACGAAGAGAGGGAACAGTTGGGGACTTAAGCCACATATAATCAAATGGTTATATGGATCAGTGATTCGGCCAAAACAAACTTATGGAGGCCTAGTATGGTGGCAAGCTTTAGACAAAGCTACCTTCAGCAATAAAATTGATAAAGTCCAAAGAGTATCATCGTTGCTAATTACAGTTGCCTTAAAAAGCACACCCCAATCTGCACTCGACACCCTACTCAACTTAAAACCCTTAAGTCTTTTTGTAGAGGAACAAGCTGCTAGGTGTGCCGTACGACTCAATGAGTGGGGTCAATGGTGGAGTCAGTCCTTTAGACACTCTATCGTTCTTAAATATCACCCAGACAAAGTTTCGAATCACTGGACATCCAAGCAGGAACATCTGGACCCGGAACACTCCACTTTTTAGCGGTATAGCCGTCTATAC